TTTTTTTTTTTTTTTTTTTTTTTTTTTTTTTTTTTTTTTTTTTTTTTTTAATTATTATTTATTTATTTATTTATTGAGATATTACAAAAACAATTTTAAATTATGTCATTTATAAAAAAACATAGAAAGAATTATTTTTATTGAAGAGTTATGATTAAATTATCGAATTTTAATCATATTTAAATAAATGAACATACAAGACTCTTGTTGTTTTATCAGTAGCTTCTTTAGAAATCTCACTTAATACTAGTTTGCTGTGAGGTTGATGATTTCTTACGTGGTCTTCTCCTATGAATGTAGCATTTGTTGATACAAACACTCTATTTTCTTGAGGGTCATAAAACAAACCACCTTTCGTCTCTTTAGGGTATCCTACGAATAGACATAATTTTGAACGATGTTCTAATTTCTTGGGGTTTTGCAACAACACATGTGCTGGACATCCCCAAATTCTGAAGTGACGTAAACTACCTTTACGCCCTTTCCATAACTTATAAGGTGTTTCTGAAACACTCTTAGTAGGAACCATGTTCAAAATGTATGTAGGAGTCTCCACTGCATATCCCCAAAACGGATCGGGTAATTGAGCGAAACTCATCATAGACCGAACCATGTCTAACAAAGTTCTATTTCTCCTTTCTGATACACCATTTTGTTGAGGCATACCAGGGGCTGAGAGTTGAGACCTTATTCCATGTCTATCATATAGTCTTGAAATCTTAAGTCCATGTACTCTCCTCCTCGATCTGATCGAAGTGTTTTAATAGTTTTACCTAATAGATTCTCAACCTTAGTCTTATACTCTCTGAATTTTTCAAGAGCTTCGAACTTGTGACGCATTAGGTAAAGATAGCCATACCTTGAATAATCATCAATAAAACTGATGAAATATTCATACCCTCCTCGTGCTTTGACATTCATTGGACCACAGAGATCTGTATGCATAAGTTCTAAGGTTTCTTTGGCTCTATAACCTTTTTCGGAAAACGGTCGTTTAGTCATTTCACCCTCAAGACAAGACTCGCATGGAGGTAAAGAGTTGTCTTCTAACTCATTTAGAAGTCCTCTTTTAACCAATCTCTCAATCCTATTGAGATTAATGTGGCCTAGTCTTAAGTGCCAAAAATAGGTATTAGGAGAAATCTTTTGTCGTTTATTTTGAGTTTTAGCAGTTTTAAACATCTTAGTATTTGAAATGACTTTTGTTTCGCTCGGTTTTAACATATATAAGTTGTTTTCTAGTTTTGCAGAACAAATATGAATACCTCTTTTGCAAATGAACACTTCATTGATTTCAAAAGATACTTTATACAATTGTTCTAATAAGAGATAGATATAAGATTTCTTTTCATTTTAGGAACAAAAAGTACATTATCTAATATAACGAATATATCTCCATAAAACAACTTTAAATTTCCTACTGATCTTGCTGAGACAACCTCTCTTGTTCCAACCCTGAGTGTTATCTCGCCATCCGCAAGCATTCTCCAAGAGCTAGTTTCCTGGTAAAAAGAACAAATATGATTAGTTTCCCCTGAATCTAGTATCCAAGTTGAGTTGTCATAATCTACAAAACATATTTCTACGACGAGTAAATCATATTTACCTTGTTGTGTCTTTTCGGCTTTCTTCTCTGCAAGGTACTTTGGGCAGTTTCTCTTCCAGTGCCCGTTTTCGTTGCAATGAAAACATTTTCCTTTATCTGCTTTTTGAACCTTGTGTTTGCGGTTAGTAGGAATCTTATTTTTTTCCTTTACCCTTTTTCTTCATCAAAACACTTTTAGAAGTTGAAGGTCTAGACTTATTTTTGGAGGATGATCCTCGTAGTAGTTTCTTGGAGATAGCAACATTTGCTTCCCTTGTTTGTCCCTTGTTCGTTAAGAGGGATTGAAAAGTCTGTAGCTCATTGAGAAGAGCAGTCAAGTTATATTCTATTTTGTTCATTACTACATTTGTGTGGAACTATAAGAAGCTCTTCGGAAGAGACATCATGATAAAACTGACTTGACTCTTCTCATCAATGACAGCTTCATTTTCTTCTGCCACATTGAAATGGACCATCATGTCCAGGACATGTTCTCTAACTGAGGCCCCTTCTTTCATACGACATTTGTAAATGTATTTTATGGCTTCATGTCTAAGGGAGAAGGACGGTTGTCCAAACATCCCTTTTAGAGATTCCATAATCTCTTTAGCAGTACCCATAACATCGTGTTTCTTAGCCAAAACATCAGATATGCTGGCTAGAATGTATACTCGGGCTTTGTCATTTCTTTATCCATCTGTCATACGCATCTCGAATTGTTCGGTTTACTTTTGAGATGGGGTTTGGAGGACATTCCTCAGTTAAAACAAGCCTTAAATCATCAATTACCAGTATTGTGTTTAGGTTTGATTTCCAAGTTGCGTAATTGTCGCCGTTTAATTTCTCAGAAGCGAGTAATTGTACTATTGAGTTTGTCATGCTGTGATATAAAGAAAATTCTATTAGTGATTTGACTTAATCCTGTTTAATCCAATCCGTTTTAGCAAATGTAATAATGTACCCAAAAATTATTAATTTGCAATGATACTTTAGTGAGTTAGAGCAACTGCTACCGAGAGGCAGTCAATCACTCATTCACTAAACCAAGACATTCTTGACTTTAAACACTAATCCCAGAATAACTCTTATTCCTATAGTGTTTTTAATTATCGCTATTTTGGTCAAGAATATACTAACTCTTAGTAATTTTTCG